AAGACGAAGTTGCAGGAAACAGAAGACGAAAGATTGCACTTGAAGAAAAAAATTAAAACGTTGCAGCAGAGCAAACGAAGGCTGACACAAAAGAAAATCACCGCTGAAGAAATTATTAGAGGCATCGAAGAACAAAAGCTTTTGTCAGAAGAGGGCTCCAAGATGTTCGATGCAGCATTTTCTCCTGACATACAACAGCTGCTTCACCGGGCACGGACAGAAAGTGGAGGTAAATACCCTCCAGAGCTGCGAACGTTTGCACTAACTTTACATTTCTACTCACCAGCAGCCTACGAATTTGTGCGATCAAAGTTTAATGACGCCCTCCCTTCGCAGCGCACAATCAGAGAATGGTATAGGTCTGTTGATGGCCAACCAGGCTTTACAGGTGAAGCATTTTCTTTCTTGGAGAAGTTGGTTCAAGGTCGCTCTGAAACTCTTTACTGCGCTCTGATTGTCGATGATATGTCGATTAGGAAACATGTTGAACTTGTCGGAGACAGGGTAGTTGGCTACGTTGATTTTGGAGCATCTCTTGATGATGACAGCCTTCCTGAAGCCACAAATGTTTGTGTTTATATTGTGTTGGCATAAACATGAGGCTGAAAATTCCAGTCGGCTACTTTCTTATCCACTCGCTCACTGGTTCTGAGAGGGCTGAACTAACAAAACAATGCATTGAACGACTGGAATCTGTGAAAGTTCAAGTGTCAGTCTAACATTTGATGGTGCGTCATCAAATTTCACTATGGCAAAATGCCTTGGTGCAGAACTGAAGCTGATCCTGTCGAGTTCTCCACATCCTTTAAAAACCCAGTTGATGAGTCAAGGGATGTGCATATCCTGCTTGACCCATGCACATGATTAAGTTGATTAGAATTCACTGGCAACAATGTGTTACATCACTGATGTTGATGGAAACCACATAAATGGGCTTACATAAAGGCACTGGAGGCTTTACAGCGCGAGGAAGGGCTCCGCCTTGGCAATAAGCTAACTAAGGTGCATATGCAGTGGGAGAAGCAAAAGATGAAGGTACGGCTCGCAGTTCAGGCACTCAGCGCTTCAGTCGCAGACGCTCTTGAATTTTGCGAGCAAACGCTGAAGCTGCCACAGTTTAGAGGTGCTAGTGCCACGGCAAAATTTGTGAGGGTATTTGATCATCTCTTCGATTTGCTAAACTCCAGAAATGCGTTTGCAAAATCATACAAAGCCCCCCTTCGAAAGCAAAATGAGCCTTGTTGGAAACCATTTTTTGCCGACGCTCGAGAGTACATATGTGCTTTAAAAGACCCATTCGGTCGACCACTTTTGCAGGGAACAAAGAGGACAGGATTTGTGGGTTTCTTGTGTGTATACAGAGCACAGAAAGTATCTTCAAGGAACTCGTTCATGAAGGTCAACTTAACTATCTGCTCACGCACAAGATGAGTCAAGATCACGCAGAAACTTTCTTTGGCTGTGTGCGAGGACGTGGGGGGTTCAACAACAACCCTACAGCTGCCCAATTCATGGCAGCTTACAAGCGTCTATTGGTCCAGACAGAAGTGAGATCGTCCACCTCAGGCAACTGTTCGCAAGATATTGTTTCTATTCTGGGTGCATCTGCCTCTGCCACTACATTTTGTGCAACCACTGAGGTCACATCGCGAAGGTGTGCCATCCTACAACCAGAGAACCACGATTACACAGACCGAATTGACTATCCAGAGAGCCTCTCCACATTCGTTTGCTCTGTCGTGCCTTACATTGCAGGCTTTGTCGCTCGCAAAATCGCTACTACAAACACCTGTGAGTTGTGCATAGAAGCTCTTCATGGAGCGGATACATCTCTATTGGTGAGACAAAAAAATCGAGGGTGGACTCTTTTACCCTTCCGAAGACGTTGTGTCACTGTGCGAAACAGCGGAAAAGGGGCTGCGTCGACTGCAGGCTTCCACTCAATGCCTTAAGAACATACATGCCAATACCAAACAACTAGTCCTGGAGATTTTGAGTCAATCACTGGAAAAGAGGTGGTTTTCACAATTGGAACAACATCTTTTGACGTCGACGTGTTGGACAACCATATTTACAACTTGAGCAAGCAAGTATTGGAGCTGTACATCAAGATCAGGCTGCACCACATGACAAAGGACGAAGCCGGGAACTCGTGAAAGACAAAGTTAGGTCTTTGCTTTCAAGACTCGTCATTTTTAGGAATCAGTGAAACAACTTTGCCATAACGTTCATGTTGGCTAAAGGCTGAGAAAGCTGTACAAATAAAATTTTAACACATGAAAAACGAACCGTTCTGTAGTCTCTTTAAATACTGCCAGTGTATCGGCGACTATGTGAGCACGTTTTTACTTCTCTAGCAGCAATCATTTGCGAAAAAAAAACGGCCGCGGAAGTGCACTATATGCTACGCGGCCGCCTTCCTGCCCACCACAAGATGGCCGCCGCCGGCTTCACTGTGCTCTATGGGTAAGTATAGGCGGCTTCCACTCCAGCAATTTTTTTATATATATCCTCCTAGCCCAACACACACTGCTTTTATTTTACGGTCGCCTTGAAATCCTAGATGCCAGAGCGGCGCCCCCTGGCATCCTCACATGTCATTCCGAAACCGAAAGCCCAGAACACAACAGTAACTTCTCTCCACTGTGTCATACCCCAGTGCTTAGCTTCAAGCACTCTAGTAGAGACGAGATAAGAAAGAAAGCGATTACGGCGTACGATAAATCTCTATACACATAGAAACAAAAATGTGGCGACGGCGGCGCAGTGCCGATGATGACGCGCGCGCGCCAAACATGTCTGACACGCGTCTGACCTGTGCCTAAACCTCACTCGTACTTGATGGTTTCTGAAAAATCTTTTTGCGGTCGATTCGTGGCGGTGATGGATTCTAAAGATCTTTTTGCGGTCGATTCGGGTGGCTACTTGCAAAAGCGTTGCGGGGCCCTTTCAGGGGAGTCTGGTAGAAGAATGACAATACACTATAGGAGACACGCATATCGGAATACTGGCTAAGCGCTCCGAATTCGCCTGAGAATACATCTGTGAAGACAGACGTCTTCAATGTATACACGTGAATTGAACTTTATTGCGTCCACGATGTTCGAGCGTTTGCAGGGCAGGATATATGCCCAACCAAAGTTACTGTGAAACGCTCAACTGAGGTGAAATGTGATCCAGCCCGCTATATATATATATATATAATATATTATATATATATATATATATATATATATATATATATATATGAACCAGTGCCATAACCAGGGGCGAGTTGAGCGGGTGCTGACACCCCCCAAAATTTTTTTCATTATGTGGCTGTTCGGGCGACACTGAAGTATTTACACGCCTTAGCATAAACCACCAGTTGCTAATTTGGCCGTTCTACACGTAAACACCCCTCCCTCCCCCTCCCTCGAAAAATCTTGTGTGCGCACCTGCCAAGAACTATATCCTAATTAACAAACTTAGAGAGCCTCTCAAATGCAATACCAGGGCGAATGTAAACGAAGTTTATACCGGCTGCAATGAATAAATCAAAATAAAGTGGTAGGAAGGGTGATAAGGCTATGTTCTGTAAGGAATACTGGCGCCGCCATCTCGGGCTGTCAAATCGATGTTTTCTTGCTTTCGTATATCACGACGTGGGTTTATAATAAGGCCATCAAATAACGTACGCACCAACCCAATTTTTTTTCATGTGTATGTGTGTACCGTAACTGTTTGTCTAGTTGTTAAAAATACAAAAGACAAAGGTTAACAGGCTAACAGCCCAGTATAGCGGCACTCAAACCAATCCGTAAAATAGTCTAGACCGGCTACTTGCTAGTTGATATGTCGGGTCATGTTAGGTATTGTGGTTAGTGGACAAAAGCATGGGCAAAAGTTTGCGAAGGAAAAAAAAAAGGAAGGGGGAATGGGGACAAGTTTTTGCACCACAAACTCAACGCGATTTTTTTTTTAGTGCGTCCATTGCTGATTTCTGCGACTGCTAACTGCTCCTGCTAACCGCGAGCAGACCTATATGTGGCACGAACCAGCATTTACGAACTGTGTATACACGCTAGAAACGACAGTATATGCGTAATGCATAGCCCGAAATTTTCTCGTTTAAATGCCCATATAAGTACTGCACTTGAAGTTTGCGCACTGCCCAGGCCACAATCTTACACCGTAGTCCATAGACTAAGTCCATAGACGTTCTAAAGGTCCACGCCCCTAGAGCAGAACACAGTGCCGTAGCCAAAATCAAAGGATCGAGTTCATACCTATTTTACGGAATCGTTCCGGCGCAAACTGAGACAAGCACATGAAGGAACACGAAACACGAATATTCGTATGAAACATGAATCTTCACGAAGTAGCCCAAACCAAGAACCAGGGTTATCCTGTAACCACAACCGATATGGGCGTATGGAAATAATTGAAACTTACCCGGCCCAACACTACGACGTCCTTAGACGGTAGCGGCACCGCCGTCATGCTGTTAACCTCGACAGCTGCTTGTTGTGGGCTTCCAAGAATTTGCGGCATGCTCCAACTTCTGCGAGCGAAATATGGTTTCGACGACAGCACCCAAGTAAAGTTATTTGCAATGTCAACAGCTCATGGAATCCATTCACCACCTTGGAGAATAAAATGTCCACAGTTCATACCACCTGGCTCTCACCGTCACTTGCCCCACTAAAGTTCACAAAAGCGAGGCCGGCATCTACAGCTGATGTAACATTACACCAAGCACATGGGCACTGCACGCTTGCAACTCGAATGTTACCGCGGTGCTACTATTTGACGTCATGTGACCCAGCAAAACGGCACTCATGTAAATGCACTTCTATCTGGCTGTTTAAATCCTAATTGCGACTATAACCACCTACGTAAGTTTCACGTAAACGAATCCACTGCGAAGAAAAAGGCGTAATCAAAATAGTCACCGTGACGGAAGCAGTTCCTCGTGGCCGCCGGCTTTCAGCAGCGCCAGTGCCATAAACAGCGCCAGATGCAGCGTCAAAACAAAGTACACGTGTTTTTTTAGCCGCGTTATAGCATCGTTCTTCGCCAATGCGTAGTGCGAACTGATCTGTAGACACTGAATACAACAAATTGCACTAAACAATGAATTCGTTTGCGAAGGAAAAACGCGAGCGGCTTCAAGTCGCAGATGTAAGCCGCAAAGGGACGATAGATTCCAGGATAATCGATGTTACTGACCGACTGAACTCGTTTCCGCAGTACTGCACTACAAGCTCGTGCTCTGGGAGAATTATAATCTTTTCAGGCGCTGAAGTAAGTTTTTTATTTATTTTAGACGGCACTTTAACTGTTGTGAGTGTGGCCTCGCTTATGGCCGGTCGTTTTCGTCCTTGTTAAACAACTTCCTCTGTTCGTAGGAAAACAGAAACCTACCGAAAAACTAACCGCTTTCACTGCGCAAATCTTCATCTGGTGTAGAAAAGTCGACTGGAAATTTCTTCGATGTCACTTGCTGTGGACTTGCACTTTTATGTGCTACAAACTTGCACGTAAACTTTGCACTCTAAGCGTTAGTTTCAGGAACTTGTGCTGAAAAAAAAAAAAAGGCAAAACAAAGCTGCTCGAAATGATCGGATCCTTGAAAATGGCCAAGTGATAAAGAGCTAGGATGGAATGAAATGTTTTTTTTTTTTTTCTGCCAGTGAGAGTGATCACAATCTTAAAAACGTGAAGCTAGTTACATTGCTCGAGCTCTTTCTTTCATTCACTGTAGTCTGACGTTGGGAAGCCAGCAGCCAAAAAAGGATGTCAGTGGCACTTCGTGACGCACGATCTCCTCACAGAGGATGCACTGGTACGTCTTGTTGTCTACAACTGAAAAAAATAAAGTAGCTACATCTGCAGTACATTTGCATTGTTTGCGTTTTGAAAGTGCTGCTGAATTAACCGGGTCCGCCGAAAATTTTCCCAAAATGATTGACATCGTTGAAGTTTACTGTAACACTGTTCTTTCGTTTGTTTTGTTTAGGACGAAACATTGGCGAAGATCGACAAATCAGCGACTCTCAAGTTCGAACCGTTTATCCTCCATGTACGGTGTCATACATTGGATGCAGCCCAGAAACTTGTATGTAGAACCGTCTTTATGGTTGAGAACTACATTATCATTGCTGGTTGGCCGGCCAGGGAACTTTCTTCTGCCGCGTAACATCTACAAAGAAAAGTGCCAATGTTCGAGGGGTTGGTGCTTACCAAAGTACATAACCACAGCAAAAACACAGACCACTATGCAAGGGGAAAAAATAAGACAAGACCATGTCGTGGGCACTTAGGCATGTTCTCGTCTTCATTTTTGCAGTGGTCTTTTTAGCATTATAGTACTAACATTTTTTTCATGCAGTGTCACTTTAAAGCCGTGAGGTGGTTTCTCAGTAGGTCTAATATACACTTACTTTGTTGAAGTTCATCAACATCATTGAACCAGACACTAACTCTGCCTTCTGTATACTATAACTTTGCATAAAGTACGCCTCGTGTTTTGTACTGCCGTGCCTGTCACATCCTGGTCACAAACAAAATCGAAGCTCCAACAGCTGAAGAAACAGGCACAGTTTGGCAGGCTTTAGTGAGACACATCACGTTTTGCTGTAGCATCACCAATATATAATTTATTTTAATATTCTTGGCCTTCAGTGTCTTGCCAAAATGTAGTCCTTGGCTCACTTTAGACGATGTGTCTTTTTTTTTTTTTTGTCTTGCACTTGCAGCTGGCTGTAAGCATAGGGGCCGGATGTCGCAATTCTGGCATCATGTTAAGCAAATCTGGCAAGGTTCATGTGGTAAGCACTGACAGTGACCTTTTCCTACTGGATAATGCCAAGGTGAAAAACGTTGTTTGTATCGCAGGCAGTTCGGACCACACTTTCGTTGGAGGTTCCGCTTTCCGATAATGGAAACATCCTTGTCACATCCATGGTACATGCTTCCACATTGTCAATGAATACACTAGCGTACAGTATTGCTTCTAAAGAAAATCGTGTGACTGCACTACGTAAACTATCGCCATATGAAACTTTCTTTTTTTTTTTCAGTACTTAAACTTCCTGAGGAAGCAGGCAAACGAAAAAATGACAGAAAACTGGAGACGGCTGCAAAGGTATCGAACTTGAGCCCAGCTAAGTTTACGCCATATTTTGGCTTTCTTTTGCATTTCCGGTTTGCCTCTCTTCTTAACAGCGAACCTCTTTAGCAAATTGTTCCTTGCAAGACGACTGCAGAAAACTATGATTTTAAGAGGTGTGTGCCACTTTGAGGTTTACCAGAAAACATCATCATCATAAATGAGTATGTGCCAAAGTAAATGGGTAAGTCTCACAACTCCCCACTACAAAGGAAAAAAAAAGCAACAGTTAGCCCAACAAATGGCCGCTAAGCGATGGCAGCGAGCCCAAGTACGTTAGGGAAAATAGCATAATTTGGAAATGCAACGGTGACTGCGAGAAGAACCGGAAGCGCCAACGATGTGTCTGTGGTTCTATGTGAGGTGTGAACGCCTGCTTTCAACATGTGTTTTTGTCCCTTGAGTGGTACAACCATGCTGTGTTTGTGACTGTGATTTAACTCAAAGCTCGTTGTACTGTGAATCAACGTGTAAACAACCTAGCATCACCGAGCTAAAGCCTATCAACAACAAAGACGTGGCCCAGAACCTGTATCACATAGCTATGGCCTAGAAATAACCAGAAGCAACCACATTAGTCTTCAGAATCGTCCAGTTTCGCTGTTTCGAGCATTGCATGGCTTAATGCAAGCTTCACCTCTCTCTCTCTATTTTTTTCATATTGCAAAAGCTTGCAAAGCGTGAAAACTGCAATGCCGCCATTTATATCAAGTGTTGTTGCTTAGATCCCCAGTTTGTGCCAATCAGGATTAAAAAGAAAAAAAAGAAAGAAATCTAGAGGCCTGCAACTTTACTCCCTAGACTTATCCTTTATCAAAGCTGAAAGGCTGTAGAGTTCACTGATATTAAATTTAAATATTTCTGTCACTGTTGCTTTCACAGTTTATGTGAGACTATAGTGCAAGCCCTCTGTTTCGTAATATAAGTTTTCATACTTCGTTTTGTACTTCCAGGTTTTCAGATGCACTTAACATGCTCCACAGTGAGAATGAAGATAAGCCCGCAACACTTGGGCTTCACAGAGATTTGTTGGTTTCAAGGACCAAGACAAAGAAGATGTCTGTCGCATTTGATTACGATGAAAGTATTCTGGTCTTTTCGACTTCGCATCGTGACTACATTAAGGAACCGTGTATGCACTGGGGGGAGTGTGCCAGTTCCTGTACAATGTCACACTTTAGGGAAACTATAAATGCTTGTGCACAACTCTGGTGCTCGACTGTCGTGTGTGAGGTGGCCTGTGAAAGTGCAAACAGCACAGGTTGTGTCTGTGAGTTTTAGCGAAAATATTACCCAGCATTTTACCTGCACGCTAAAATCGGCACGTCTAAGCGAACCGGCATGCTTAAAGGGACCAACAACTATTTTTTATGGTGCCAGTTTTTTTTAGCACGAAGGAAATCTTACCATTAGTGAGTCTGATCCTGGAATGGTAATGTGTAAAACGCTGTAAAACATTTGTAACCCTAGTTTTTCTATCTGCAGCAAATATGAAGTCGTGAGCGGGCGGACGATTTGTGTTCGAGTGCGGTGGCTTACTGTGCTTGTGCTCCGTGCACTCGCCACAGCTCGACTTGGTCCACTGGCGGTTGCAACGGCAGCGCCGCTTTTCAACGTGTTACTCCTTTTACTTCGTAATTAGCACAGAATTGAGCAGGGCTGGATAATAATATACTCTCATTTTGAGGACTGCCATGCATGACAGCATAAGAACCTGCAACCATGTTCGGCAAAGTGATTGACCTCATATTCTATAATCCACCTTCAAGGCTTTTCCACTAGGCTGTACTATAAAACAATTTTTGTTAATTTTAAGCAAGATTTAAAAATGTAAATCCGAGTCACAATGCAAAAAGAATGCTGAAATCTATTATTTCTACTCTTTTCATTTATATTACGATACGATCTAATCTCATGTTCTTGCCATTTGTCGGTCCCTCTAAACACGGCACATTCCGCAGTGTCGCCTGGACTGGCGTGAACCGACACCAGTGGTGCAAAGTGTATCTCTGTACCTTTGTAGCAAGATAGCTGTAGCGCTGTTCTGTTTGACTGCTTGACTTGTCTTTTGCTTACATCTGTTTGGCAGGGAGAGCATGCTCTCTATTCAGTTCCAGCTATCGTAGGCTACAGAACCGACCAACACTTCACACCGCTAACATCAAGCCATTCAATGCTGTGGAGCGTTGCTGAGGGGCCATGACATCCAATTTTCGCTTACGATCGGTGTTACGTGGGTTAATCCTTGAGTGATTACAAAGAAGCTGGCGAAATTTCAATGCATTCTGTCGAGCCCTCTACTTATAACGAATATTTTTATAAACGGGTGAGCAGTGCGATAGTATGTCAACACTAGCACACTCACAAGCTGCGACGTACCAAGCCGCTTGCCCTGCAAGCGGCTGCATTTTTGCCAATGATTTTATTTAATGATCAGCTTCACTTACAATGCACCTCTTCAAGCTTTCTCCGGCTTGGTATTGAAAATTAAATGATTTGCAATAGAAGATGATGGCTACACTCCATGATGCATACGGCATCACACTCACCATGGCAAAATGGAGGTCAATGGTAGTGGGTGGTGTTTATAGCCTGCAATTCCTAGGTTCATTTTGCAAAAAAATATTTTTTACAGCCCATTTTTCATATATGTACAAGTGCAATAGACTCTATACATCTATTTTTCACTAACAACTTCAATTTAGGGGGTAACAGAGTCATGGCACCTTTAAGTTACTCAAGTTACATTGAGACAGCTTTACGCCTAAATCTTATGGTGAATTGCAAAGACAGAGTAGGGGCAACTTTTTTCCAATGACAGAGCGAGGCTTTGAGCCACATTTTTCAATGAGGGAGCCCAAGTGGATTCAGCACCGAGGTCACTGTGGAGCAAGAAAGGTTGCTATGTGAAAACTGGTTGAGTAGACTAAACTATACGCAATGTATTTTACATCGCACAAAGTTTACACGTCTCACAGGGCCGTGTGGGTTTTCGCGGTGATGGACAGCTCAACATGATGTGTAGCGTCGTTTGTGCTACTCAGTCACAACAGCCACAAGACGGAAAGTGCAAGTTTCAGTATGTGCAGTAAGTCATGTGAAATGTTGATGAAACTGCTGCTGACAAACAGGCGTTAAATAAGACGTTTAGCCTGCATCTGAAAATTGGAACCTGAACTTGGCAAGGTTTAATGCTAGAACCTTATCTAGTGAGGGAAGTCTAGCTGTACTATTCGAGGAGCTGGAGGGTGTTAAATGGGATATAATAGGGCTCAGTGAGGTTAGGAGGACAGATGAGGCCTATACGGTGCTACAGAATGGGCACGTCCTTTGCTATCGGGCCTGGCTGACTGAAGAAGAGCACTGGGAGTGGGGTTCCTGATTCACAGAAACATAGCAGGCAACATAGAGGACTAATATAGCATTAATTAAAGGGTAGTAGGTATTGTAATTAGACTGAATAAAAGATACAAAATGAAGGTAGTACAGGCTTACGCGCCTACATCCAGCCATGATGACTATTCAGTTGAAAGCTTCTATGAAGACGTGGAATCGGCAATGAGTAAGGTAAAAAACACAGTATACTATACTGATGGGAGACTTTAATGCAAAGGTAGGGAAGAAGCAGGCTGCAGACCAGGCAGTAGGAGATTATGGCATCGGTACTAGAAACGCCAGAGGAGAGCTACTAGTAGAATTCGCAGAACACAATAATTCATGAATTATAAATACCTTCTACCTAAAACGAGGAAACCGCAAGTGGGCATGGAGGAGCCCTAGTGAAGAAAATAAGAATGAAATACTTTATAATGAGTGCACACCCAGGCATCGTGCAGGATGTGGAAGTGGTTGGCAAGGTACGATGCAGTGACCATAGAATGGTACACTCTTGAATTCGCCTAGACTTGAAGAAAGAACGACGGAAACTGATACGCAAGAAGTCAATCAATGAGCTAGCACTGAGAGAAAAAGTACAGGAATTCAGAGTCTCGCTTCAAAACAGGTACTTGGCTATTAGTGAGGAAACCAACCTCAGCGTTGACGCAATGAATGATAATCTGACGACTATCATTACGGAGTGTGCAGTGGAAGTGGGAGGCAGGGTAGTTAGACAGGACACTGGCAAGCTTTCCCAGGAAATGAAGAATCTCATTAAGAAGCGTCAAATCATGGAAGTCTCAAGTACAACAGACAAAATAGAACTGGCAGAGCTTTCGAAGTTGATTAATAGGCGTAAGGTATGCGATGGAAGAAGGTATAACATGGAGAGAATTGAATAAGCTCTGAAAAACGGAGGAAGCGTCAGAGCAGTGAAGAAACGAGATAGCCGAAAAAAAATCGGATGTATGCACTAAGGGACAAAGAAGGCAAAATAACTACTAATATGGATAGGATTGTTAAAATAGCGGAGGAGTTTTACAGAGATCTGTACAGTAGCCGGAACAACCACAACCTTAATAATATAAGAACTAGCAGTAACCCAGATGACACCCCACCAGTAATGATAGAAGAAGCCGGAATAGCTTTGGAGAGCATGCAAAGAGGCAAAGCTGCTGGTGAGGATCACGCAACATCAGATCTGGTGAAAGATGGAGGAGAGATTGTGTTTGAAAAACTAGCCACCCTGTTTACGAGGTGTCTCCCAACGGGAAGAATACCAGAGTCTTGGAAGAATGCTAACATCACTTAATACATAAGAAAAGAGATGACAAGGACTTGAAGAATTACAGGCCTATCAGCTTGCTCTCTGTAGTATGCAAACTATTTACAAAGGTAATGGCTAACAGAGTAAATAAAACATTAGAATTCAATCGACCAAAGGAACAAGCAGGATTTCGAACGGGCTACTCAACAATCGACCACTCTCATACTATCAATCAAGTAATAGAGAAATGCTCAGAATATAACCAACCACTATACATAGCCTTCATAGATTACGAGAAGGAGTTTCATTCAGTAGAAATATCAGCCGTCATGCAGACACTGCGGAATCAGGGCGTCGATGCAGCATGTATAAACATCCTACAAAAAATCTACAGGGGATCAACTGCTACCATAGTGCTTCATAAAGAAAGCAACAGAATACCAATCAGGAAGGGTGTAAGGCAGGGGGACACCATCTCCCCAATGCTGTTTACTGCGTGTTTACAGGAGGTTTTCAGAAGCCTCGAACGGGAACAGTTAGGGATAAAAGTTAATGGAGAGTACCTTAGTAGCCTGCGCTTTGCCAATGACATTGCATTGCTGAGTAACTCAAGGGACGAATTGCAACTCATGATTACGGAGTTAGACAAGGAGAGCAGAAAGGTGGGTCTTAAAATTAATCTGCAGAAAACGAAAGTATTGTACAACAACCTCAGAAGAGAGCAGCGCTTCGAGATAAGTAATAGTGCACTTCAAATTGTAAAAGACTATGTCTACTTAGGGCAGGTAATAACCGCGGAGCCGAACCACGAGATTGAAGTAACTAGAAGAATAAGAATGGAGTGGAACACATTTGGCAAGCACTCTCAAATTATGACAGGTAGATTGTCACTATCCCTCAAGAGGAAGGTATATAACAGCTGTATCTTGCCGGTACTTAGCTACGGAGCAGAAACCTGGAGACTTACAAAGAGGGTTCAGCTTAAATTGAGGACGACTAAGCGAGCAATGGAAAGAAAAATGGTAGGTCTAACCTTAAGAGACAAGAAGAAAGCAGAGTGGATTAGGGAACAAACGGGGGTTAAAGATATCATAGTTGAAATCAAGAAGAGGAAATGGACATGGGCCGGGTATGTAGCGTGTAGACAGGATAACCGCTGGTCATTACGGGTAACTAACTGGATTCCCAGAGAGGGGAGACAGAAGGTAAGGTGGGCAGGTGAGATTAATAAGTTTGCGGGTATAAATTGGCAGCAGCAAGCACAGGACCGCGTTAACTGGCGGAAAATGGGAGAGGCCTTTGTCCTGCAGTGGACGTAGTCAGGCTGATGATGATGATGAAAATTGTACTTCAGCTTTGTGCCAGCAGTAGAGGTTGTTCCAATCGCGGATCGCAAGGCTTTGCGCAATGCCAGAGAAAAGTTTCATTCATGAAGGCGGCTAGATGCTTTGAATCGGCCATTTATGTTAAATGTGGGTACACAAGATTTTTTCCCCCCATTTCCCCCCTTCAAAATGCACAGGGAAAAGAAAAACTTGGCCGTCTGATGCGACTGTATGACACGTAATGCTTTGACACCCTATGGTCTTTCGTAAGCAGTAGAATGTCACAGCCACAGCGAAGTCGCCGTGAATGGTTTTCACAGCACCTATAACTGATAGTTCGTACTTGCTACGTAAGCATAAAACTAGGGCAATAATAAGCTTCAGCTAGTTGCAGAAGTCCAAAAAATCCTTATTTCACAGCCCTGACAACAACGCACAGATCCCCTAATTAGATGCAAAGTAGCTCTTTGACTAGCCTGTGTAACGCTATCCCTCCGTTCGCACCGCACTTCCCTGGTTGCAGCTGTTGGGCGGTGCCAAGTAGGTCACGCCTTCCCTCGCAGTGCGTGCGCGTTGACGTCACTCTCTTCCAAGCCTGTTGCCGCTCGCCACGTGTCATCTTTCTCTCGCTTCACTCTCTCCACCGCTCGCAACGTTTGGGCGCACATCGAGCAAACAGTGTTTCTGCGAGGAAACCCAACCTGCCTCCCGTGTCTTCGCGTTTCAAACAAATGTTCACTCGAGTAAACACTACACCGAGTTTTCACTTCAAACCGTTCTTCCAGCACCAGTGTCTTCGCGTTTAAACAAATGTTCACTAGAGTAAACGCTACACCGAGTTTTCGCTTCAGACCGTTCTTCCAGCACCCGTGTCTACGCCTGTTTCAACAGGGTCAACGCCGTGCACACCGCTGCTGCTTCGCATTCCATCAGGGTTCCTTTCGAGGAGATGGTCTTTCTTTTTTATTAGGCACATAGATGGCTTAGGCATGCTATTTCAGAAATAAATTGATGTGCGAGTTCAAGCTAGGTGGTACCTCATTCATGAGCTCCGTTAAGCGCAATAAGTTTGGACGAGAGGACAAAAAGAAGCCAGTCCATGTCTTTTGGGGGCAAAGTTCCTCGGGGCCAAGCCCTGTTGGCGTCCGTCACGTAGAATAATGGATGTAAGACACAAATGTGGGACACGAAAAAATGCTTAACAATAGACTAAGATCAATAATAATTGTGACAAAACCATATAAAACTCCTAGAAGCACAAACCCTTCATACTAGTCTGAGACCTCAACGTACACATTATAGACCCTAAGACCTAACTTTGTCATCAACTCTCATGGTCCGCTGTCTTAAGTAATAGAAAACCATTGCCATAGTCGAAAAATGTGTGTATGTGAATAAAAAATGGGTGACAATAGGCGAACATCAATTGTAATTGTGACAGAACAATATAGGGACAAATCCTTTACACTAGTCTGTGATTTTAACGTACACATTATAGACCTTAGGATCAAGCTTTGTCATCGACTCTCAAGGTCCGCTGTCTAAACAATAGAAAACCGTTAGATTTGTGCGAATAGTAAATTTTAGGTTAGAAGCGAATAGTGATTTTGATCGAATAATTTCGAATTGAACTCAAATGGTATATATGACACATGAAAAAAGGGGAATATTTATCATGACCTAAATAATTTGCACAATATTTCTTTCCAATTGAAATAGGGGCTCTATCCAAATGCCTTTTTTTTTCGTTCAAAGGAAGTCAAACAACCTTGAGTAGTAGTTTGGGTAGGATGCGAGTGATAACCTTTAAGATACTTCACGTTTTGAACTTTATTATACTTGGAGCATATAAGCCATCATAACAAGCTTAATAAAATGAATCGATATGAGGGTAACATGTTCCTTTAAAGAGCCCTGCAACACATGCAGCCTGTAAACATGCTTGTTACTTCACAAATATACCGCCGCAGTTTCTAGAATCAATCCAGTACGAGCGGAAGTTCCAAAAATTTGTCGCACTCTGCAATTGCATTCTCTCTTCCAATCTCGACAAAATAGCCGGAAGCTAAGCAGGGAGGAATGGCACGGCGAAAAAAAATACGTCACACGCACCTTGTGACCTTGAGCACCTTTTTTTTTCTTCAAATACGCAGTGTTCTAGTGCGATCGAGCGCATACTCTAGGACAAGCGGCGCTCTCTCGCGGCGGCCATGCTCAAATCAGTTGATGGCTGTGACCATAACCGTATATTCCTTCTTGGCTGTGACAAGTGATCTTTGAGCTTGTAGTGTCATTTGCCGAGAAAAGAAAGCAATTTTTAGCTTTGAAAATTAATTGTGAATTACAGGCCTCATGCTGCGATATATTTGTCTCGCGTGTTCTCGATATCCTCGACTACCGATCAACAGCGTTTTCTAACCATGCTCACTCAATAAGTGTTGCAGGGCCCCTTTAAATTTAAAGGGGGGCTTCGCGGCAAAGTGAATTTCCCCTGAATAAGTGCTTTCTTGGCTTAGCACCCCTACAGTGCAGTGAAACCACCTTTGCAGGTAGTTACATGCAAACTAATTACACTTATTCGTTAATTGCGAATACTTCGAAAATATTCAATAATTTAAATTTAAATCGAGGCGAATTCGAATACTCAAATATTCGTTCGAATATTCGCACAATCCTAAAAACCATTGTCGTAGTCTAAACATATGCGTGAATGTGAACAAGAAAAAGGGTGACAGTAGACGAGCATCAATTGTAATTTTGACAGAACAATATAGGCACAAACCCTTTATACTAGTCGGCGACTTCAACGTAGACATTATGGGCCTTAGGACCTAGCTTTGTTACGGGCTCTTTGTGTAACTTTATGTCACTCAATTTACATTATATGTGGCAACGCTCATGTAACACATGTGAGACAGAAAAAAAGGTTTAATAATACGCTAATATCTCCCATAATTGAGCTTGTGAAAGCACAAACCCTTTCTACTAGATGGCAAATTCAACATAGACATTATTGTCACTGAACAATATAAAACTACAAGCACAAACCCTTTATACTAGTCGGCAAATTCAACTAGACATTATGAACTTTAGGACCGAGATTTGCCCAGTCGTCATCAATCACTTCGTGGAGACGTGTGGATATTTTTAAAACTCTCATCCAAACTTTTCTACTTAACGGTGGTGAAGCATTCACGTTAAGCCAAGCAGAGGAAGGCAATCATAAGTTCTAAGAAATCAGGAAACACGGCTACACAATTCAGAAAACAAACATCTTTATGCATTCTCATATATGTACAGTCTCAATCACTTCTACTAATCCTAAAATGCTGCGGCAATAAATTTGCGCCCTAAACATCATGTGCGTGCTAAAACAGAGGCATCACAACTTCCGCTCGGGAAAAGAGGAGAGGGGAAGAAAAAGCACTCTAGTAACATATTTTACAATGTCGCATCTTATCCACATAGCCTCAGCAGCACGGTGCGGTAAAACATGCACATTCAAAAAGATCTAAAAACGAGTTACAATTGTTCATGTGCAGTTCATTGCTCCCGAGCAAACGACAATCAAAACGAAAATGGCGGCAGGGCTAGGCTCAGGCGCGCACATCCCCAAGAGCTCTCGCCGAATGACTTGACGACACAAGAACAAAGCATGTGCGCTCGCAATTACAAGCCATAGTGACACTACAAATACGCACAGTTCCAAGAATTCTGAACACAACAACCGATATACATATATATATATACTATAGGATGAGATATTTATAAATGTGCATAATCGTTTTCTTCTTCCTTTTTTTTTTTGCACTACTGCTTTCCAATAGCATCGCAATAACTCCTCCAAGATTTCGTTACAATGTTGTCTCGTGCTCTCCTTGATGGTGGTAATTACAGCTAAAACATCTATGCTATGTACAGGTTGACTTTCAGGGATCACAGTTGGCACCCGTAAAAACCACTCAAGGCACTTTCAGGTATCGTGTACATCACTCTTGTTCTAACCATCTTTTTCTTTCTTGTCGAATCAAAAAAACAAGGCGTCGGTGCGCACGCGCACACTTCTGCCGACCAGAAAAATATCTCTTGGGTACGAGGGTTTCCACTAACGTGTTATCTGTAGTTCATTCCGTTACCCTTTCTACAATAATTTGTGTTGTTTACTTGCTCATTCGTTTGTATTTCATTATTATTTTTCTTTACTTTTTACACAAGGTACCAAAAGGGCAGGCTCGCTCGACAACAAAGACAGGTGACCATACATTCGCTTCAGCACTCGGTAACTCTAAAGATATAACGCCTTGTTCGCACACAATTATCAGGGGAAAAAATATAAAAAGCATGCAACCATGGCACACATGTCGTATACGTACATAGTGGGGATTAAGAGAGTTGATTCCACAATTGTGGCAATGAAGCACTTTCAAAAGAGGGCACGAAAAAGTGAGGATCGATGGCAATAATAATAATAATGATAGGAATAATAATTATAATGATGCAACAAAACAGATGAATGTGGACACGACATTGGTGGTGAGGGCGTAGCTACAGACATCGACGACGGACTGCAAATAAAAGCATATGTACAAAAGTCCCACAACTAGTGTAAGCTCGATGCATGGGGACAGTAGATGGCCCACCCTGGAGGCAGCGAAAGTTCGGTCATCGCAGCCGGGTGCCCAGCTCAGTTCAGAAACTTGCGGCACCTTCGGGAGCCGCAAGAACATGGAATCTTGACGTCTTCGATGGGGAACTTATAGTCGTACGTCAGTTCCTCTCCTTTGAGAATCCTACGAGGAAGAAAAAGAATCAGACAAAAGAAATCTGTTAGCAATTGCTAGAGTAACACGTTCATGTTTCGTACGGTAGATTTTTGGTTTAGAATAGATAGTAGCAATGGCGAGGATGCCAATGGCATTCACAACAGTGTGATAGGCAATTTCACGTGGGATCAGCACATCTGCATGCAGACTTTGGTGCCAATAAGAACAAACGACCAACTCGGAACTTTCTAGACACATGAAGGGGAGTGCACAAGGACTTTTGCTACTGTGGCTACTGGTCTAGCCCACACGTCTGATCTTACTCTCGACTGCGAATAACGTCCGTAAACTGGCGGTCAGCTTCCCTGCAATGACTTGCCGCAAAAGTTGCAAGTCAGTTGTGACTAAACACGATATGTTGCATATTAAAAGCACAAAGGTGCAAAACACGCAATGCGACGTAACCTCACTTGCGAATTTATAGCTGCGGCGTGCAAAGTGGTCATTCTATAAAAGGCTTTGTGAACATGCGCGGTGAAATTTCTATGACTTCACGCAACATGTGTAGTTTCAGTAGCTTTGCCTGACCATGATTGATATGTGCGGTTTAACATCCCAAAACCACCATACGATTATGAGAGACGCCGTAGTGGAGGGCTCTGGAAATTTCGACCACCTGGGGTTTTTTAACGTGCACCCAAATCTGAGCACACTGGCCTACAACATTTCTGCCTCCATCGGAAATGCAGCCGCCGCAGCCGGGAATTGAACCCGCGACCTGCGGGTCAGCAGCCGAGTACCTTAGCCACTAGACCACCGCGGCAGGGCAGCTTTGCCTGATCAAGGCCTCGTTTTATTTATTTCAATCCCAGTGCAAACACACACTTCTGAATGGGAACCTTTATTCAAAGAGCGGTCGTGATGCAATGCCACATGATGGGTAGCACTGCTGCTTGCATCACACGTGTGTCCAAGCGCATTCACCTGGAAATGCAATAGACGTGTTTCCCACTCCAATATCATATTGTAACGCGGACTGAAAGAGCGAGAAAGAAGAGGAGGTAGGAGGCTCTTAAGCGATGGTGATTCGGCAAGTGACGGTTGAGCGCTGGCATTTTCAGTGTAAATAAACCCATCACATCCGTGACAGCTTTGGTGGAGCGGTGCTGGGTAATGGGCCGTCCTGGATTTCGCAGCAGAAGTTCTTCGAAGAAACAGACGCTTAGCTGGCCTACCCCCGTACAACATCAGCATGAACGACGACACAGCAATCCTGTTGACATACTACGCTGCTGCATCCGCCAGTGCCACTGACATGGCACAAGGTGGCCGTCGACCTCAACAACCAAATTGCTGTGCGCCTGAACCATCGATATTCTCCAGGAAAACTGACGAAGACGTGGATGCTTGGCTAAAACACTACGACAGAGTGGGCTGTTACTATGAATGGGGCACGCCGGTAAAGCTTGTGTACGTAGTATTCTTCCTCGCCGGGACCGCTTTGCTTTGGTTTGAGAACCATGAACATGTCCTCACCACTTGGGATATATTTATTGAGGAACTGAAGGCCTGCTTTGGGCACACGAGTTCTATGAAAAAGAAAGCTGAACAAACACTGTCACGCAGGGCTCAGTTGCCCGGCGAAACGTGTACAACCTACATTGAAGAGGTATTGAAGCTTTGCGGGATCGTCAACGCAAATATGTCTGATGAAGACAAAGTCGGCCATTTGTTAAAAGGCATCGCCGAGGACGTGTACAATTTTCTCATTATGAAAGAAAACTTTAACACTCCTTCTACTTTCAGGCAGCAGTGTCGCGCATTCAAGGCGTTGAAGACCCGGAGAATTTTACCCAAGTTCGGGCGCTTGGGCAATGTTCCCACTGTTGCAAGTATGGACGTCGCCTCCTGCAAAGACATTCCCTTTCTCGTACGTCAGGCAGTTCGAGAACAGCTTGTACGACTTCAAGCAGGTGACGCTCACCACCAATGCTCAGTCGCCGCGTACCTCAAATCACCTCCCAACTGGATGCGAGAGCGCCACGTCGAAAACCGACGGCACACAGAAACTGCTGATTTCAGCCACGGCTTCCGTTTTCCTCGATGGGTCACGGCCACCACCGGATGTCATCATCTCGACGTGCCGCTGCAGACCTCCGACCGTCGTTAACCAGGCCTCTACCAGAAGACTACTATGCATCATCACGAAACGTTCCTGCAGAGCACGCCCCGTCTCCGCGTACTTCTGCCACCACTGCTCCTGCTAATGTAAGCCGACAAGTCCCCGTTTGCTACACATGCGGTCTACCAGGGCACATTTCCCGCTTCTGTCCCAGCCGGCCGCCTGCGCCACCACATTTTTCGGCGTACCCGGCTTGTATGCACGAAACACCTGTGCTGCCACATTTTTCGACGTACCCACCTTGCATGAACGAAACCTGGACCGCTCACTTGGCTGACCATTGCCCCGACAGCAATGGCCTAACGAATTTCGCAGTGGGTCCCTTGCCTCCCAGCGAAGCCTGACGCCGCCCCCGACACGTTCCCGCCGGTCGCCGTATCCGCGTCGTCGGTCGCCTTCCCCGCATGAGCTGAAAACTAGCTGGTGCGGTCGACGGAGGTGCGGTCGCGGGACGGTCAGTTTCGCCAATTCTTCCTTCTGCTGCGATGTCGATGAACAAAGTGCGTGTGTGTATAGACGGTGTGTGTAGATACTCTTGCTCTTGTAGACACTGGTGCTGCTTTTTCGACTCTTCGTTTCAAGCATCGTTTCTTGGGTCACAAAGTAATGTTCACGTGGGATCATAAAGGAACTTTTTGTGGAGTTGGAGGCGAAGCGTTATGCCCCGTTAGTACTTGCTCAGTTATACTCTCGATTGATGTACAAAATTTCCAAGTTGAATTCACTCTACTGGCTCGCGCAACTCACGACGTCATTTTACTGATAGACCTCCTTCATGAATGCGGCGCTACGCTTGAGTGAGGAACTGGAGAGATTCTTCTGCAAAGTACGTTGCCCACTGCCATAGTTGACGATTTTGCGACTCTCCCCCCATCGGTGCGCTTTCGTTGTCTGAAGATATGACGATCCCTGGTCGGACAGCAACGCTTGTTACCGTATGCTCTTCTCACGTCCACTGAGGACACTGCACTGGACTTGATTTGATTGATATGTGGGGTTTAACGTCCCAAAACCACCATGTGATTATGAGAGACGCCGTAGTGGAGGGCTCCGGGAATTTCGACCACCTGGGGTTCTTTAACGTGCACCCAAATCTGAGCACACGGGCCTACAACATTTCCGCCTCCATCGGAAACTGCACTGGACTTGTCGAGCCTGATCATACAAACGCCATCAAGAAGAATGTGCTGGTCCCACAGTCTGTCCTTACAGCCATCGACGGACATGCTTGTTTGTGAGCGCTCAACCCTGCCTCAGAGCCTGTTTATACAGGAAACGTTTGAGGAGCAGGCCACAGTTGGCTTCAGAATGGTCTCAGAGTCTCCAGCCATCAGTAAGACTACCCACAACTACTCAGCTGAGATGAAACCTTCTTCTGAGCAGGATGCCCGCGAGGAGGTGCTTACACGCTACGCGGGAGTTTTTGATTTCGCTAAAGGCAAGCGTTGTTCCATGTTGACCGAATCCGGTATGCACCACCACATCAACACGGGAGATGCTACATCGATACGCCAGAAACCCTACCGTGTATCCCCGTCAGAGAGGAAAGTGATCGCGGATCAGGTCAACCACATGCTGCAGAAAGGCGTTATTCAAGAGTAAAGCAGTCCCTGGCAAGTTCCTGTTATATTGGTAAAAAAAGCAAGACAATTCTTGGCGATTTTGTGTCGAATACCGCCGTCTCAACGTCGTCACAAAGAAAGACGTGTATCCGCTACCACATCGACGATACTATTGATTGCCTGCACTCGGCCACATACTTTTCGTCCATCAACCTAAGGTCTGGATACTGGCCAATACCAATGCATCCGTCTGACAGAGAAAAGACTGCTTTTGTCACGCCTGATGGGTTATTTGAATTTAACGTTATGCCGTTCGGGTTATGTAATGCCCCTGCTACCTTCGAGCAATTCATGGACTCTATTCTTCGTGGTCTCAAATGGGAGATATGTATGTGTTATCTCGATGATGTAATTATTTTCGGCAAGACATTTCACGAGCACAACCATCGGCTTAGCGTCGTTCTAGATTGCGTCAAACAAGCTGGTCTTGTTTTAAACTCAAAGAAGTGTCATTTTGGTGAGCGTCAAGCACTTGTGCACGGATATCTAGTCAACAAAGACAGTACACGGCCAGTCCGGCAAAAGATCAATGCTGTCCGAGACTTCAAGCAACCAACGTCTGTGAAGAATCTCCGTAGCTTCGTGGGCCTGTGTTCTTATTTTCGCAGGTTTATCAAAGACTTCGCCCAGCTTGCTCATCCTCTAACAGAGTTGCTCCACAAAAACAGCCCATTCCAATGGAACGTTGAGTGTGAGGCTGCTTTCCAGCAGCTGAAGTATTTGCTTACTTCCAGGCGCCTCTTGCGCCATTTCGACCCGGAGGCACTCATGGAACTGCATACAGATGCTAGTGGTATCAGTGTTGGTGCCGTGCTGGTTCAGTATCATGACAGCCGCCAGCACATCGTGGCGTATGCAAGTCGTACTTTGATTAAGACGGAGAAGAATTATACGGTCACCGAACTGGAATGTCTTGCGGTTGTTTTCGCCGTCCAAAAATTCCGACCTTATTTGTACCGCCAGCAATGCAAGATCATCACAGATCATCATTCTCTTTGTTGGCTAGTCAGACTACGTGACCCAGCTGGCCAGTTGGCTCGTTGGGCCTTACGGCTTCAAGAATATAATTTTTCTGTGACCTACAAGAGCAGTCGATGTCATGCATATGCTGACTGCTTATCTCGTCTTCCATCTCAGACTGTGGATGCTGATGATGATGATTTCGACAACTACCTGGCTGCAATCTCCTCTAACTTCCTAAACTTGGACGTCTCCCATCACGA